GCTTGAAATTTAGTTATGCAAAGTTTGCAGGATCTTTACAATGTACTCTAAGAATATTTATTGGATTTTTTTTAACCTGGCATTGTGGCAAAATACGGGTATGAGACAACAAATGTATATGGAGACTATGACTCACTGGCTTAGTTCAATTCACCTGCATGCTTTACAGTAGTACATTGCAGTAGTTTTGTTAGGTTTGATCATGTCCTGTGTCGCATACTTACATAATTTACCATGGAGAAGGGTACCTAAACTGAACATCGTATACCTGTTTATAGGATGTTGTTTATGTTGGTATTTTTATCCAGGCACTTTTTTTTAGATATATCAGAGCAAGTTTATACCTGATGTTGGTATGTTGCTGTGTTGTGTAAACCTGAAAAGAGGCAAGACATTTGTGTTGTTAAACATTTTGAGTTATTATAGAATGAACAGAGGTCATGAGAGTGAGCCTCTGTTCTTCATGTTGCCTATTTAATACCAGAATGTTGTCTTTTGGGTCCTGTGTACCACTTTGACATCCACATTCTCAAAATGGGACACTGCCATGATACAGTTGTTTAAAGAAAAAGGTTCTGTCTGCTTTCAGTTTTTTTAACCCCTTTTGTACCAGCAAAATCCTCAGAGGTTGTTCTAATGAAATCAGAGTAATCAAGCACTGATTGCACAGAGAGAGCCAGGGAGGGCCTGATGCACCATGCACACAGCAAACGCCTAACAGATATAAAAGGAAACACATTGCAACATCAATCTGTATATTTTAAGCACAGGCTTACAAATGCTGATTACTCAGCTAGCATTAGCACATATTCATCTCAGGCTAGCAGCTGCTTCTATTACAAGCAGCATGTTATCAGACGAAAAATGTATTTTATAGGAATTTGAAATTAGTAATGTGAATTATAAAACGTAATAAATGCATGGTGTGTGTGAACCATGTGACCAGTGATGAAGCTATCATTCCTCCTAAACAGCGGAGGAAGACGGGGTTATGTTTTATCTAAGGAACACATGGAAGTGGTCTTTCATTGGTGGAATACATACAACTCCAACTGCATAACTTTATTACTTTTTTATATATTCTATTGACATTTCAATGTTTTAGTCATTTTTTACTGACCTAACAATGAGAAAAAAATGAAAACCCAAAAACTGAGCTGTGCCTTCAGGAAATGAGTTTGGTCGCATGGTCCCACTCATCTGCCTGCGAAGGATCAACAATGTCACATGTGAAGCCTTTTTTCCAGGCAGACAATTTAGTCATAGTAGGAAAAGCACAGGTGTTACAAATAACATTCGTGACGGTAAGTGTTCCAACATGAACAATACTATGATCATAAACTGTAATGGAAAATGGAATTCAACCATCATTCATTTTATTATTTACACCTGTGCTTTTCTTGCTGTCAGAATGTCTTCCATGAAAAAGGCCAATTCATTTTAATGTAAGCGGGGCAAAGGCCTTTTTTTTACACAAGCAAAATTACTTTATTCATATTTGTTATTATACAGTAGTGTTGTCACAATACCAAAATTATGACTTTGATACGATACCCGCCTAAATATCTTGATACCGATACTGAACCGATATCAGGAAAAGTAATGGAATTATAAATGACGGAACATGGAACTTAAAATTCAGTTTTTTTATTTAATTTAAAAAACACTGAAAATATCCTATCTACTGTAGATTATAGACAACTTTACAACACAGCCTGTTCTCATTAAGAGTCATTTTTAAATCTAATTTGACTAAATAGAAAACTAAAAAATGCACTCAGTAGAGCCCAGACCTCCGCTGATGAGGTGTATTGAGTCATGTGTGTCTACTTTAGTACACTACTGTAGTGAACAGGCTAACTATCCTGGGTTTGAGCTTCATCAACGTGGCCGCCAAGTGCCAGATTTAAACTTAATGTCATTTATGTTTATTATTTTCATGTTAAATAAAGTTCTGATGACGTGTTTGTATGTTTGTTTTTCATACATGTAGATGTGTTTTTGACAATGAATTAATACATTAATAATTGGATCAAGGTCATTGTTTTTAAAGCTTTTACAATAAGTAAAAATGCATACCATGTAGTAAAAATGTGATAAAGAAATCACATAAATTTAAATATAGGGGTGTCCCCTATACTTGATTTCATGTGATTTCTCTGATAATTAACTTTATATTTGCAACCAAATATCACTTATTAAACAGACTCAATACACCTCCTTGGAAGAGGTCGGTGCTCTGCTGACTGCAACCATTAATTTAAAAAATTGATACAAATGTAAATGTCATGATCACCATTACCAGTACTGATTTGAGTATAAATGTATCTAACTGCTGTTGTTGATCTCCATACTGCCTGATTTTACCAGTGCGAATGTTGCGTTTCTATAGAAATGTTTGCCACATTAAGTTGCTAAGCTAAAAAACTAAAGCTAAATTAAACCATTAACATTGCCCTTAATTTCCTCGTCAAACTCAGATGCTAAAAAAGTTTGCTGTCATTCGTTTGATTTATATTGGGGGCATGTAATTATGTCTTAACATTTGCTAACCTGTCACTCTCTGAATTCTTTGAACAGTCTGCATGTCTGTTGGTGAGATGCTTTGCTAAGTTGAACGTGTTGCCTCTCTTGGCCTCCGTGAGTTTGAAACATCTTTTACAGACAGGCTTTGTGGTGTCCATGGTTTTGCTCTCACTGGCGGCTACATAAGCGAAATAACTCCACAGTTCGCTCCGTGTCTGCTTTGTTGACAAGTTGTGGAAGAGCTTGAAGCCATGTCTCTCCAGGAGCTGCAGCGTAAGCCACACCCACTCTGCCTGCAGGGAGCGCTGCGCACACTCACTACTCTGCTGTGGAAGCTCCAATTAAGACATTGTCATTCTTAAAGTATCGATACCAATAAAGGCGGTATTGTATTGTTTTCAAGCAAGGGTATTGCGATACCTTTCCAGTATTGGTATACCGTGCAACACTATTACACAGTGCAATTTGCAGTTTGATATTAAATACTAAACCATCCTTATTTATCAGTAGGTTGTGTAAGTTAAAACACAGCTTAGTTGAAACATAGTCAGGAAGTTACACTCTCTAAAAATAGGTTGCACCACACAAGTTAGTTACAAAATACAATTAAAATACAAACTCAAGTGTAAGTGCTTCCTTTGTAACTGCTGTCATTGTGGAACTACTACTAGACTACATCCCTGTACATTTGGTTTTACTTGGTTTTGTACAGTACTAACAGGGGCACAAGTGGGATTTTCTGCTGCATTCACTTGTTGGGAATGGTTGCTGGAGCCACTCGTTGCTTGTAAAAGAAACGTTGGGTGTTGACTTCAGCAGAATATTTTTACCACAAAGTTTTCCAGAGCAGTTTGTTTGGATTTTAATTATTTATGACCATAGTTATGCCTGATACAGCCACCCTCACCGTAAGTAATTATTAAAGAGGTAATGGACAAATACACATTGTTATCACATGTTTAGTTCACACTACTTTTTTGTTACAGGCTGCTTAATTTCCGTGTAGTCAGTAATGTTTTTCTCTCCTATTTTATCCAGATGAGGCACCAGAAGAAACTTAACTCACTGTGACAATGTTCAGATTACAGTTTATTTTGTTAAGTTGTAGTTAAGTAGATATAGTGCAACCGAACAGAGCAGTTTTAGTGTGAAACTGTATAAGGTATAATCGAACCTTTTGGTGGTGCAATGGCTGCTGACCCCTAACCGACACATTGGTATGAATAACATACACAACACTGTAATTATTATACTATGGCAAAGGGCTTTTAAAGAACACCCCTAATAGTGAGACTATGTAACATTTGCAGAAGCAGCAGTACCTCTGGCCAACAGAGGCAGTTATAGAGTTAATGGTAAATGCTCAATTGTAGTGAAACAGCAGCACAAAGAGTCAGTTAATGTCAGTTAAGTTCATGATATATCACACAGAAGGCCATTCTAACTCAAGCTGTACGGTATACTATATAGGGTAACTGTGTACACGGACATCCATGGACTCAACAGCAGTCTGCATGCTTGTACGTAAAAATGGAATTTGGGTAATGCATGGAGACGAGCACAAGACAGAATTTCTGCAGACCCTTGAAGCTACGTGGATGTGGAAAGTATGACTTGTGCTTTATTAGCCACCAGAAGAAATAATGTGAAATAATTTTTCATTTTGTCTTTTAGAAGTTTTGTAGCTCCCCTTTAAGTCACTGTGGCTGTGCTGATTTTCATATCACACAGGCTGCAAATTGGCCATTAGAAAAAATGTCTGTAGTAAAAAGATGCAAATGTGCACATATCTGGAGAAGCAGTTTGCATAATGAAGAAGTTTTTTGTGGAGTTTGTTTTTCATTATTGGGTTCTTCTGTTCTGTATTATTAAAGGTTTAGAGGTAGAGCTATATTAGAGCCACAACGATTACTTTCTTAGTTCATCAATGGAAAATGTAATCAGCTACTACTTTGATAATAGATTAATCATTCTTTAATCATTTGTCATATTTTAAGGAAGAATGCTTCCTTAAAATATGACAAGAATTTCTGCTTGTCTTTGTCCTGGTCAGTGATACAAAACTAAATAGTTTTCTGATATATATATATATATATATATATATATATATATATATATATATATATATATATATATATATATATATTTATGATAAATAAATATTGTTCAACAACATCTGGAAGTGTATGAAACAGGGATCTATTTATAAGAGAAAAAAATGCCATTGTGAACTATAACTATAAAGCTAGAGCTTCAAATAATCCACTAAACTCCATGTGCACAACTGACTCACTGTCTACATGATTAATATTAGGTTTTTCTTTTAATCATGAGGGTATATTTGATGCAAATGTGAATCCATTTTGCTCTCACCACTACCCCAACTGTCCGTCTCTGACGTAGCCAGTCGGAAAGTGCTCATTACAGCCTATGGAGCACCGAGAGAGAAGCAACTCAATGACAACCGATGCAAATCTCAAACTTGGCGTCTCTCTCTCCCACTGAATATGACTAATGTTTTTTTCTTGTTCGCATAGCATTTAGGAATATTTACGCTGCATATTAACTGTAAATAGCCTACTGTTTATTCTTTATGACTTTATGTTAAAAAACTTGGTGAAGAAATAAGGACAGTAGCTACCCGCCGCCGGACCCTTAGTGAGGAGGGATTCTGGTTTTCTTTTCCTTTAAAAAACAAACAAACAATAGAAATCGGATGTTTTACAGTGCAGTCAGATAGGGTCGAGTGTCTCTCCTCCCCTGCACACCGCGGCTACCTGGAGAGAAGATTTGGATTAAGTCTAATGAACTGGGGGTAAATAATCTCCGCGGGACCATTTACGGGGCGAAACCAGAATCGTTGTCTCGCTGTGGGATTTTTTTCTACACATCTTAAGGCTGAAGACGATGTCTGTCCGGAGATACTTTGTCGCTTTTTCCAAATGCACAGTTCTTCTCTCTCTGAGGATTTTGCTTCTTGTGCCTGCAGGGTTGCCAGTCCGCAGCCAAGGGGATTCTCAATCCGACAACAAAGTGATGGACAATATCACCGTCCGACAAGGAGAGACTGTCTTTCTCAGGTGAGTCAACACACTTTTTTTTTTTTTAGCGTTTCCTCCTCCAGCTGCTGCTTCACATTTCTGTTCCCAAAGTTGAGCGCTGCCTGCACGCGTTCGTTTCTGAAGCGGGTATTTAGCGGGGAGACACAGAAACATGACATAATACAAGAGGAAAAAAAGGGGGGCGGGGGATTTCCAAGGATTAGTCTCTGGAAAACATTCAATCCAGAAGCCATATTCTGGTAATCTTTAGCAGCTGTTAACGAGAGCTTTAGCGGTTTTAATTGTTGTGTGACGGTGCAGAACTAAATGTGGAGGGAAAGGTGTGTTTCAGGAGGGACAGGGGGAGCAAAAACACCCGTCAAGTCTCTGCTGAGGGCTGAGGGAGGATGTTGCAGGTGAAAAAAGAAAACCCAGTAAACACTGCGGCCAGAGAAATGATGACTAGCAATTCGTCAAGATGGGAGATTGTCTGTGGTGACCTTTCCCCTCCTCTGCGCCCTGGGAGGCTTACTGGACATGGAAAGATTTATGTGGCTTTCAAGTGCTGTCGGAAATGTCCAGCGTAACATGAATGACAATCACAAAGGCCAAAGGAAGGGATTTCATTTGATAGGATACCAGAGTTGGCAAGATGTGATGTGTGGGAGGTGGAGGGCATGGGAACAGCTAATGGTTAAAGTGCTGCTGCACTGCATTCACATTGTACAGATGTAACTACAGAATGAAGTGTGTTTGAGGCTGTCTTGACACCATGATTGACATTTTCTGTTCTTGCTGACAGTAATTTTCAGTATTTTCACTTGATGGACTTGAGGTCAGACTGAAGACTGTCTGATGAACTGCAAAAATACCCCAGTGATACATAGGCTGTGGTTACTGTGTCCTATCTCAAAAAAACAACATTTAAAAAAATCAAAACCTACAATAACTAATATCATTCAGTTTACAGCATATCCTTGCTAGTGATTTCAGAAATTCAGAAATCAATCAAATTGATGATCATTCATAACTTTGATTACCTTTCTAAATTTCTAATGAATGTTAAGCATTTTAAAAAGATAGCTTGAGAGGCAGTTTACCTGGCAGGCAGGTGGCCCTGCAAATTCAATGAGAACCAATTAAAAGCCTCGGAATAGCATTAAACTTTACTAAACATTTGTTGATGGAAATAGCAAAGGAAGACATTGTGCATATGAAAAACATACATGAATATTAGTATTCAACATGTAGCCGAGCTTTTTACAGAAAAATTTCAGATATAACCCTCAATGTAATCATGAACATTTTAAAAAGTAACTGTAATTTAATTACACATTAGTTTAACTAACAACATTTACATGTATTTTGTAATTAAATTACCTAACTAAATAACTTGTAACTAGTTAGGCTACTTCCCAACACTGTTCATCTGATGAAACTGGATTTCCTGAAAAGCTTTTGTATCCTGAAAGCTGACATTCATGATATTTCACATTTATAGAGGCCAATAGGTGACATTACAACTACGGATGAATGATAATTATCGATCCGATATAATATCTGCAGATATTGACGCATATGCGGGTGCAGGCAGCTAGAGCCAAACACACATATTGTCAGGTTTGGATCTTTATCGTGGTTTCAGAAGAAGACATCTCTATTGCAACATGGCGTCAGTCCTTCCTCTTGTCCTCCTCCCCTCACTCTCTGCTGTGATTCACTATAATGTGCTAAATGTTAAGCTACATGGCAAACTAAGCTCAAGAGTTAGACTACAGATGGCTTTCAATTTAAGTTAGCTGGTTTGTGTTGTAAGTGGCTACTTGCCAAGCTAACGTTAGCTGTTCTTATTTAAAACATAGAGAATGAGAGACTGTCGACAGAGCAGATTAAAATAAGGCTTTTTTTTACACGCTTCTGCTTGTTGAACAGACTCGCCAAAGTTTTATTCCATGTAACTTACTGACAGTAACGAGCGTGCTGTCGTCAACTCGAGTACATTGGAGCTAACGTTACTTTCACTTTACCGTCTCTACAGCAGACTGTAAATAAACAGTACGGTCTTTATTCCCGGTTCCGTTTAATAGGCTACTGCGTTTTGGTACCCGTCACAAAATAACAGTTGTTTTTTTAAAAGTCATCGCGTTTCACGTTAAATCCGATGTGATTAAAAATGACATGACTTCTCTCGAGAGACATTACGTAGCATTATAGGTCCCACTAGACTCAATAGCAATATCTATGAACTCAGACCTTACTGATTATATCTTGATAGAACCAGGTCTCGATCCCCATCCTTAAGTATAACTGTTTTAATCGGGAGGAAGATTGTAGGACATTTTAAGCACTCCCAACTTGCCTTCTCTTGTCTAAAACACAAGCTGAGGAGTTTGCTAGAGCAGTGTGAACAGCTGACTAGAGATATTAGTTCAGCTACAGCCACAGCAGCAGACCTGATCCCCTCCCCAGCCTTGTCCCTAAGGACTGAGGTGTTAGGTCTGGAATACACCTGCTTTTATTTTGTGCAATAGAGAGCTCCCTGTTACAGTGCTGTTTGCAGCTTGGAAAATATATGGAGCTTAGTTGTTATAGTTTTATTTAAAAATAAAATGTGGCACTGGCAGATGATATATCCTCCCCAAAGTGAGATCATTTATTTATTTTTCAGGGGTGAATGTCTATGTCTACATTTGTAAAATGATACATTTTTGGTAGAATCAAATGTTATTTGTCTTGTTTAATAGTATCTGTTTCTACAACAAATGAGCACAATAGGGTAAAATTAGTACAGGAGATACTTGGTGTTCTCTTCAGTGAAATAAAAAAAGATGTGTAAATATCGGGATCCGTATCGGCCAAAATGAGTTTGATCATATCAGAATATTGAATATCAGCAAAAATCCAATATCATGCACCCCTAATGACAACGGTATTCTGTACAGTATCTTTCAGTCAGTAATCAGTACAATCAGTAATTTTTGACTAACTACTATCACTTACACAACCCTTTCACAGTGCTGCAGAAAACAAATAAGAATTTTTAAAAAGCTACTCTTGACCCTATGTCTTATCTGACATCATTCCTCACCAAATGTTTTTGATAATGCAACAGGCCATATCTAGAACCTGTGACATTTGGAATTCCTTTGCCACCTCACACTGATTATAAACTGGTGTCCAGGGATCCCCAGGGTCCTTCAGGTTGCAACAGGTCATTAGTAAGGTGAGGGGCAGCTCATCTTGGCTGTCGTTTCATTTACTTTGAGCTCACACAGTGAAGCAATGAGACATGGTGACTGCTCAGGTTTCCAACAGTACAGACCACCTCAAATGCAGAATGCAGTCCTGATTTGCTACATAGCCTGCCATGGATGTATAACCCAAATATAGAGACACTAAAGGATAGCTCGCAGTGGAAACAGCATTGCTAAACCCTTACCGGTGGACACATTTCTACCATTGCATAGTATATACCGTCATATCGCCCAGCCGTAGCTGAGTTTAAGAAATAACCTGGTGGCTTTACAGACCTGTTCTGATAAATACATGTCCTTTGAAGTAGGGCTGTCACGATAACCGCAAAATTGAAATACAGCGCTATTGGTCAAGCCTACTGTGGAGGATGGCAATCACTGCAATGTTCATACTGTACACTTCAGGGTTTGTTAAATTAATAAATGAGTGCTTCAAAACCGTAACAAGCTCTGTAACGGTTCAAGGATGGATCGCCATGGGCTGTACGTGATCCGTCTACAAACTCTGAAGCTGTGAGTGTTACCGTGCTTTGTGTTGTTTTACTGTTTATTTTAAAGGTTAGCTAACTTGGCCTTTGCATATTGTGCGGCTAATGTGGCTAGCACACTCGGCAATGTTGGACTAACGCTGTGATCCTGAGGGACAGTCCAGAGAAACTGTGACAGTAAGCCTCATTTGAATCCCACTAACTAAGGAGCGTAGTGTGTCGGAAGCCTGCAGATGATTTTCATGTTGCTTTCTGTGGATATTTAGTTATAACGTTTGTGTGTGTGTGTGTGTGTGTGTGCACGTGCGTTGCTGCGATATGTAAATTGACTTGATAGACATGCCCTGAAGGTAATGATATAGCTATGTCTGAGAAAGACACGGTCAAACCTCAAATAGGAGTTTGCTTGTCAATGTTGTTGACACGCAGCACGCAGCAGCTAGCTTGCTCAGACCATAAAGCTGCTGTTAGCGGCTCGCTGTGCAGTGAGGTGACAGATACAGACACTCTTACTCTGCTATATGACACCAAATTACTTAATTGATGAAAAATGTGATAGTATCGCAACATATGGCCGCGGTGGAAATTACTTCACCACGACAGCCCTACTTTGAAGTGGCCTTAAAACCCAACAAAAGCTGAAGTATTGAGGGTGGGAGAATGTTGAAGGAACATGGCACAAGGAAGCTGAATTTGGATGAATATCTGTTGTAATACCTATTGTAAGTGAGACTTTACATGTTTATTATGAAATAATTGTAAACAGAAATGTTAAATGACCACATTTTGAAGTATAACACAATTGGAGCCATAGTGGCTTGAAGTACTTGACAGTTCCATAGAAGCACTGGGAGGTCCTGACTTTCAGCCTTCACTGCTGCTGTAAGTGGTAGCAGTCAAATAACAAATCAGTAACAATCCCATGTTTCTCCTGTATGTTACATTGTCAAAGCTCATTATCTTTTCTGATGATTTATATTACTATATGTAAGCCAGCTTGCACAATAGAGCTTGTATTGTAGATAGAAAACACATAGCAATTTTGCTCCTAGCCCTCTCGAAATTGGCATGTGATGCCATTATTACTCCACTGTTCAGCCCTGCACAGGTCAATGGAACTGGCAAGCCTGAACTTGCCACGATGTGCATCAGTCCTCCAGGCGAAGCAGTAATGGCTGTATCAGTCTGAAATTGATCCACAAATTCTGTGGCCCTACTTTGCTTTCATCTTGTTGGTGAGTGCCCACTCACACAGTCACATGGGTTGAAAAGGCATTTCAATCTAAAACGCATGGTG